CAAAGCCCAAGCGAGAAATGCAAATGTGCAGCAAGCCTCTCACCGCGAGCGACGAATAAATGCTCGCGCTGAAATGTGCGCACAGACTGAATATACACAGATATCTACCATTTGTCAATTAAAGCAATTAATTCAACAAGCAGTTTATTAAGCGGCAAACAAGACGCAACCGTCGATTTAATTCGTTTCTATTGTATTCATTAACTAAGGTGTGAAATAAAGTTTTTTCCTGCGTAGGTACGTATAGATTCATATTTAGAATTTGTTTTTATTCCAAAAATAAAAATTTATTTATTCAACTACTAAATCTCAATTAAATGCACGTTTAATTAGTTTATGTGAAAGTTATAAATATACATAATTTATGACTGCAGATAAATGTTGTTTCAGCGTCCAAAGATAATTAAACAATCTATTAGCTAATAGCTATCTATAAACTTAGTAAATTGATAATAAGGAAGTGATTAGAAGTTTATAATTTAATTTTATTTAATAGCTACAGGATATCTACTTAATTAGCAAGTAGATTTGTTTATACTCACGATAACGTCAATATTTACAGTCGACTTTTCTTTGGATATGTGCGAACTAATAAAATTACGTTTATGGCGAAAGCAGCTACCTGCAGTTTATTTAATTACACCGCACTGAAGAAATTGCATTCATATGGTTCAAACAAGTCGCTAATAAAATGTTAACAAGTCATATGATAGTAGGTCGTTATTTTAACGACTAGAAATATTATTTACTCGTTCTGTTCGAGCAAAGTTCGAACTCTACTTCAATATATGGATATGAAATGTACAGCTAGGTGTTATATTACTTAATTAGCTGTTTGCTTATTGTGAATATTCCGTTATTGCATTTGCACATTTTGCGCACATAGTGAGTGTTTTCCTAATTGCGCTTTTTCGATTTGTACAGTTGGATGCTACGTACAATCAAAGTTGATGATTTTAAAGTAGATACTGATCGTTGCAAATTTATAATTTAATAATTTTAGTTTGAAAAATCATCAACTTTGGTTGCAAGTAACCGGTTTTCTTTATTTTCGTTGAGAAGTATAATCATAATACTAAATAGCAAAATATCAGTTAACCAAACATAGGTCAGTCAATATGGCAGACGAAATGTTTAACGTAAACATATCGTTCTTTCCACACGCGCGTGTGTGCAATTCCTTTCGAGTTAAACTGCGTTCGCCTCGCGTGCAACTAATTAGAAAGTGCCAATCGTGCGTGCGTTTTTGTTTATGCGCCCGGGAATGGTGTGCGCCCGACGCACTGTTATTAACTTGTTCCACCCACTGCCAGCTGCATATCGCATACACGTGTCACGTATGCTGCACACGCATGTATAAGCGCAAGCATTCAATACCTATTATGTGGACGCCACAACAAAGATCGCGTCGAGTTGCGGGCAAAGGCGCTGGCGTGCACATGTGTGCGCGAGTATATCGAATTTTATTCACGGCCGAATGAGAAACGTGCCACAATAGAGAATGGTGCGTCGCGTCGACGATTTGGCGCTCCATACAAAGACGCCCGCTATGCATTGATATCAGACACTCGCTAATATTTAGGCGAGTTGTATACGCAGCTGTCCGGATGGGCGCATAGATGAATTCGATGGGCTACTAATAGTCAAACTTGGTTAGTGTATGTTTCCAGAGTGTTGACTATGTCGCCTGGGGCCCGTAGGGCAAGAGAATTAGAGATCATCACATGTTTTTGACAAATTCACACTTTGTCAGGATTTTATTAATTGTTTTTTGATATTGGCCAATATTAGACTTCAAATAGGAGTTAAAAAATAGGGAAAAATACAAAAACATTTTTTTTCAAGTTTTCATATGTTTCATCAAAATCTGTATGCTATCTAAAAATGCATCAGAATTTTATCTCATATTACACATTACTAATATTTCATATCCACAAAATCTGTGCACACGCTCAACACCATAACACGACGCCAACCACCACATCTCATTAACGAGCACGTAATCCGATCCGTTGCGTGCCCACTTTTAAAGCCACATTTTGGTTGTAATATAATGAATTTCGTAGTAAACCGTTGTCGGGAGTGTGCATTTCCAATTGGAAGCTATTAATAATTCCATAACAATTCCTTCTAGCCATCGTTTGCTGCGCAGAAGCTAAAATCCAAAAACTTGCAATTTATCTTACTTAACTAAAATATGTATTGACATCATGACATGATGATGGTTAATAAGGGAAGATGGGTAGCCGGAGGTTATTTCAGACAGCTAGGTCATGGATCACGTGCCTTTTATATTTACAGCTGCCCTGCTGACTAGACTGACTTTTATATGTATCATTCGTGCCTCCACATATTTTACGCATTTCAATGCAATATACTGGGCGTTGCGCTTGAATTTTACGTGCGCCGTGACGTGCGTCGGAGATAACTTCAAAGAGGGTAGATGTATAAGTGAAACTTTCACAATATAATGCTTTGTCTGGCTGTCACTTTACCGAGTGTAATGAGTGTTGGACTCGCGCGCACATTTCATAGATCGTGTAATTCATTCAACATTCGGAAACCCCTCCGCTTTCAGACCCGCGGGCGGGCTGCATCCGGATGTATTAGTTTAGCCCCGGAGTTACGCTCATCCTAGCACACATTGTACGTGGTCCGGCAAATGAATGCCAACGAGCACAATGAACGTCAACTGGGCGTGTAAAACGTTTCGATTGTTGTTATTTTAAGGGAATTTATAGCAGTTTTCAGTATTAAATGTGTTTCTTTCATTTTACATGCATCCCTGCTTCATTCGCCTGTAATTCCTCATATTAAAGTATTTCTTTGTACTGATAAAACTTTCTACGGTTGTCTATGTATTTAATTCTGAATTATGGCTCAAATCGTAAACTATTCAATACTAGGTATCTAAAGAACTACATACTTGGCTAAACTATAAAATAAACGTGTTCTGTATACGATGTTGAATATATTAAAGCTATGGGTTGACAAGCATGAAATATTCCAGAGCGTTGTTTTCTTCCCATCGTCGCATTCTTTTTGATTCATATATTTTAGTTGTTGAATGGTATGTTCCTGTGTTTAGTGTGTGGTTTATGTCGAGATTGTCCGGACGCGTAGATTATATGGTCGGCACGTGACTTCCATTTGAGTTGGAATTTAAGAATTTATTTCGATCATAATTTTATTGCCTAAATAGACCCCAAAATGAAAAAAAAAATGTCTAGAGATTTATGTATTGTTGTAGACACGAAATTTAATATAACTTGGGAGGCTGTAATTGCAACCAAATAACATGAAATATGATTTCAGTCGAACTGCGAACGTTTCATCTTGTTATGTGTCAAAGTCCATTATTAAAAAACTCACTCGGCGCTCCGACATTTTCAGATTTACTTAACGCAACATTACACCGGAATAGCCACCGCGTTTCTCCTATTCAGTGGTGCCTGCACTGCTCCTGGTGCAAAGCACCCAGCCAATTTCATTAAAATCCTTATTCGTTTCTTGGATTCTTGTGGGAGATGTAAAACGAACGAAGCGAAACGCGTTCAGCGTCGTAGGGCATCGGGCACGTTCTCTCTTTTCGACGAAATCTGAGCGCAGGCAGGCACCCACCGCCCATGCCCCTCAACCGTCTTCCCCATTACCTAATTCGACTAATTTCCTCAGCAGCACTTCCATGCTGCCTGCCAGTGCTTCTGGCATAACTTAATAAAAACGATTTTAATGAATACCCGCGCGTGAGCTTTAGAGCGTTGAGGTACCAGCTGAACACAAAACTCGCGAATGGCAGAGTCGTTATTCGTTTTTCGGGAATTATGTGTGCCCGGACTGGAGTCGAGTGTCAACGAATTAAATTCACCGCTCACCGTTAATGCGGCGTTCGTTTTCGGACGCAGCGCGTAGTATTTGCGCAAATTTCCGGATTTGTTTTATCGAATTAACGTGTCTGCGAATATCGCGTGGGCCACGAGAAGCGATGCCGGCGCAGTTTGAGGATAATTAGGTTTGTTAATTAAATTTACCACTTTACGAATGGCGCCCCTTTAACTATTCGTTACAGACGCCGCAGCGACGGAACGAGCAAAAACAAATCGAAAAGTAATTTCGCAAAACGTCCTGCAACCAAAGCAAAACCTAAACTTTTGACAACAGAAGGGGTTGCTCCGCTTCACTTGGTAATCGTTCTATACTAGCAAGTAGAAACCCAGAACAAACAAACACTTCAAACGCAGATTCTTGTTTCACAACTCCTTCGGTTGATGTTTCGCATCAAATCAAATGTTAAATTAATAAAAACAGTTTTCGTTTAAGTAGTGCATTATAATGTTGTAGAGTCCATCTGTCGTGTGTTTCATAAAGACGATTCCAATTCAGAAGCAGAACTTGCCAAGAAACACAGAAAGTTTACAGTAGCCATCATCAAACTTTCCATCTTCTGTTCCAAGAAATTGCTATTTTGCCAGAAGACTTGTTGTTTACAGTTAGGACATGAAATTGAAATGATGACTGGGGCCGCATAACACAGCCTAATGAAAAACCCAGCGATTCAGGCTCCTTACACTGTTTTACTGCAAATACATCAGCAAGTCCTTGGGCGAAATAAGGCATCGAACATGTCGAGCGTATTAAACGTGAAATTAATGAACTTTTGCTACTTGTTCTTGTGTTCTTGCTATGCTTCAAACAGGCGGTTACGACACGACCTGCCATCATCTCGTGCATTCTCACTTCACACAATCAACATTCACCACTTATGAATATTTACTCTCTTAAGCTGCTCCACCGACGAGAAAAACAAGCAGACCTTTAACAGCGGACGCACAAGCGCAAACTGCTAATGAAAACATTTCTTATTAGCAATTACCAGATTGATTAATGTTCGCGTCCACGCGTTGCGCGCATATTGATTAGTTACTGAAGAACATTTTTGTGCAAATTTAATGCTTCAATTAGTATGCTAATGGTGGCTGCTGTAAAAGAAGAAAAGTCCATTTCTCATTTAATAGTTTATTTACAATTTATGCATCTTAATTATATGTATAGGATATGTACAAAGGTAAAAACAATATTTAGCTAAATAGGGCCGTCGTTAGTTCGGTTTTCTCGACACCAGCCGTCGAGCAAATACCATTTTATCTCATATTTACAATAAATGGCTTGAGTCATCGCTTCGATTATGAAATGACGTTATGAATAATAGTACAACTAAGATAGACCACATTCAAGTGACAGATTGTCGAATATACATAATATGTATGCGTATAAAGCCATTGTAACGGATTTACGAATATCTCTATCTAATTTATAGTCCAGTTATCTTTTTTGTCATTTGTGTCTCGTAATTAACATTAAACATAGTTCATTTCTTATCGTTATTGTTAAAACGAGCAAGTTAACACAATAGTTTTGGTAATAGTCAGCCTTCTTGGTTCGATAATATTCTCTTTTTTGTTCGTGCGGAGTTTCGATGTCTATAAATAATTAGTTCATTACATTTTGGGCGTTTTGTTCCGAATAAATTAAGGGTCGCTACCTGTAAGAAGCACGTTGATTAGGTATTCACGTTCGTTAACATTAAAGTTTAAGTAGTGTGAGCTTCCGTGTGTCAAAGGGTTCCATTCAAGGGGCGGTTGATAATTTAATGGTTACATTAGTTAGGTAGTATTATCACAGTTATTACATCGATAGAAATCCTAGGCGTTCATGAACGCACGCGGATTCGACGCGTAGCGTGGTTGCCGACTCAACCGGACCGGAGGCGGTGTGGATGTAGGTGGTGGTGGCGGTACGAAGCCCGTATTGCAAATCTCCGTGGCGGCGTAATAACGTTCCGAAGGTGGGGGTATAGACGGCGGCTTCGGGAAGAAATTGTGCATCATTGGTGGGGCGCGCGGCGATTGCTGTGGTTGTTGCAGCGGTACCGCATATTCCGGATCCGGTGGTTCGCGGTATAATGCCGCCTTATCGCATCCGCCTGGCACCTGCGACGGCCGTGGCGACGACTTGTACCTGCGGTGCTGAATGCAAATGAACGCAACACCACCCAGCATCAGTACGATAATCACCGCCAGAAAGCCGACCACGATGCCCAAATACTGGCCTAATGGCGTGGGCGTATTCACAGCACTCACAAGATTCTTGTTATTATCGAAACCGGGCGTTGCGATCTGATCTCGCTGAATTGTATCCTGCTCGTAATACGAATCGATGTCCTCTTCTTCCTCCGTAAAGTTGCCTGTGACGACTGTGGAGTCAAAGGTGATTTCGCTTAGGAGCATCCAACGGTTGGCGAAGTGCAACTGCAGCTTGACAAACCGCCCGACACGATGATGCAGCTTGATGCTGATGTTGTGCGGCGTCTCGAAGATGCAATCTTCCATGTAATCGTAGGTGATCGGTTCGCCTTTGTAGATTTTTCCACCCACGCTAAACTGCACTGTCGCGGATGAGAACACTTGCACGTCTTTCGTGAACTGATTGTTTGCATAGATGTGCACGGCACTGAACTCGCGCACTTTGTCGAACTCGAAGGTGATTTCGATGGGTCGATTCTCGCGCGAGTCGTTCTTCCAGCCGACCCAGCCCTGCACCTCGTGATCGTAGAGCGGCACTTTGAAGTCTTCGGGCGCGACCTTTCCGTCTGTCAAGTGGCCGAGACCGTGACGCAACTTTTCCCCGTCCCAATGGCCGTCGTACGCCGTGTCGTAGAACTCCCAGTTCTGACCCTTCTTGTCACCCTGGGGCATTGAGTAACTCACGATCCCGTCAGTCCATTTGCATCCATACAGTTCCACGCGCATGCACACCGTACGCTTGTGATAACTGTAGGGGAAGAAACGAACTTTACTGGCGATGATGGGCGGATCGAGCTCATTCTTTTTCTCCAAGTACGTGTTTATGTTGCCCGTGAGCACTTCCTCGTTCTGCCTGTTTCTGTAACGGATCCATTTCGATAGTCGTGGTCGCCAGTATTCCAACATATAGTGTTCGGCAAATTCCGCGCCTTGCCCATTACCAAATCGGCCTTGTATTTCGGATGCGGTTATCAAGTGCACACTGCGGAAGTCAATTTCCAGCCATTCCTTTAATTCGGTGGTCGCCGGTTCTTGTGGGCACCACGCACCTCCATGCAATTCCAAACGCACTCTGTAACAACAAGCAAAAACCACACACGCACACGATTAACAATGGACATTCCCGGATATGCAAGAACAATAACAATTTACCTGCCATGCTGTGGGCCAACGTTCAAATGATCGAAGGATGAACTGGCTTTTATGTCCTCGTCTCTGATGTCGCCAGTCTCCATGCCCAGCGGTGCGATGCACTGAGCTGGAAAGACAAACACACAATTTGTACTCCAGCAATTGCACGAAACGAGTTTAGCAATTGTAGAAGCAGCGAAAAGAAGCTCGGAGCGGCAATTTGGGATTTTTCAAATGTCGCTTTGTGTTTGCTCTACAAGACGGCTAATGAAACTTTTTCTAATATTGTATAAAATGCAAATAGTGCACTCGCGCGCACGCTTTTATTAGACGCTTTGAGCGTTTACACAAAAGGTAAGCGCACCCACTAACTACGCTCTACCTAGTGCAAAACGGCGCCCCTGTGACATGCAAATATTCCACATCCCTCTTTGCTCGCCCTCGACGTGCTCTTTTAACTTTCTAGCGGGAACAATTTACAATACTTACAAGGGTCCATTCCATCTGTTACGGTAATCCCGAGAAGCACCAACACTACTTTGACTGCAAGCATGATGGCCGTCCGGTTGTCGCCACGCGCCATCATGAACACGTTTCCTTGATCGTCGTCGTCACACCACTTTCCGTCTTTTCACTATTTCATCTGGAACAATAGTAGAATCCAACATTTAATTAAAGTGAAATAGAAGCGACTTGTGGTCAAAGATTAGACGAGGCTACATCGTACTTTATTAAGATTAGAGTGGCAACAGTCAAAGACCCAAGTCGAAGAAAACCCACTGATATTATATTAGAATCCAGCATAATTTGATATCTTGTGCCATGGATGCGGAAGGATATGAGGTTTCGTTATCGTCGTGCGTTTGCTCGCTTAGCGTCATCGCTGCTTAGACTTCATTATGTCCGGAATGAGGACGCGAGCAAAAACCGCACGCAGCTAAGAAACCCTTTTGATCGGGCAACCGTTAATAACTTGCTTTCGCTTCACACAATCTCCAGAATCTCGGCCTGTGTTTTGTGCTCTGTTTTACTTCTGGCCATTTTCCTTCAACTCTAACCAAGGCTTACTTCACATGAATTCATGCCAAGCCAACAATAATGATAAATATTTGTATTCTGCGTTCCCTTTTGTATTGCGCAACGTTCCGGCTTAGCATTAACTTTTACTAAGCTTCACGCCGAAAGGATGCGGGTGCTTTCATTGAAAAAATCATAGCCCATCCACTTCTAAATCATAATTTAAAATTATAAATTCTCTCGCTTTGCTGTGAAGTGACGGCGGATAGAAGTCGGGAGGGAAACGTGGGACACTCGCCGCGCGCTTATCTTAAATTATGACTTTGGTAATATCTCCGACGAGCGACGCCGGCTGCGCCCGTCGTCGTTTCTTATCAAAATGTGTAATTACGTCCTTAAAAAAATCTAATTAACCGCGCTTCTGACACCGTCAGCTGTTGGGAACGCACAAAGCCACTGCTGTTCTCGCGAGAACATAACGGACGCGCGAACCAAGAATTCGTTGCCAAGAGCAGAGAGACGTTTCAAAGCCACCAGTGAAATGAGAAAGATGTTTATCTCTTATATTCGATGAGTGATTCTAGGAGACGCGCGTTTTATGTGGGCTTATTCACTGTCCACCGCCTTCTACTGCGCACAATGACCACAACTCATACATAAAACATCAATAGATATCAGTCTAAGTCTCGCACTTCCTTGCACTGTCACATTTAGCTGCGTTAGAAGCACGTGCGCCAGAAATCAATATCAAGAAACTTCATTCACCGGCTGAGAATAATCATGGACCACCCCGATATAAAAATACTCGTCTTGGTAAACAGCTGGGAGTCTTGTTTAAGAAAATGGCAGCATGCGTAAAACCGGCGAGAGACAAGGCATAAACCAGTTAAAATTGGCACTAACTGCGTACTTAACTATTACACCGATATTTACCGTCCCTCGCCCGCTGTCATGTTAACTCTATTAATTTTATGACAATTATATACAGCTGCCTGCCGTCGAGCAGTTCCAAACGAGAGCGAAACGGAATGAATGGCTCCCGCTGCTGTTGCTACTGCTGGTAGTGAAAAACGCATAACCAACGCCGCCGCCGCAAGCTGGAGACAAGCGACGAAGGTGAATTCCGACGCGCGACAATAATTTACCGAGGAGCGGACGCTAAAATGGCATTCCACGGATCAAAGTACTCCTCCTCTTTGCTTTTCATATGGTTAACACATGCGGCGTTCGTCGGCTTGCTCGTGCGCACACATGACCGCAAAACAAAAACCGCGTGCGCGCCTGTGAGTAAAACTAAGCAGGCTTCCAGTGACGTTTAAAAAATGCTTCGAAACGCGTGTTCCTGTTGCCCCGTGCTCGTCGCTCACTTTCCACTTTATATTTCACTCATATTTCCGTTTATTTGGTAATTATGTCACGTCGCGTTTTATGTATCTTTTCATTCGCGTCCGCGCACAGGAATACGCCGGACAAAAAGACCTACCGCGGCACTGGCTTAATTCCTCGCTTTCAGGTTTTACTCCTTTGATAAGTCTGGATGGTAGACACTTGGGATTAAGTGAGGAACGAAATGCGGTAAATGAAGCGTACATTTTTATAGACGTTTTTTTTCGCTCGGGTCGGTGTTAATCATCTTGCGGTTCGACTGCTGTTTGAAGCGAGAAGAAAGTAGAGAAAAAATAAACTCGAGTGGTTTCTATAAAGCGGGTTTATCTAGCGTATTAATTTACCAATGCGCTGCCGCTGTCTGGTACGCCGATAATGAATGAATTTATTTCCTCCCAAACAGATTTAGACTTGTAGTTTGAAGAAAACATGCATCTACATCATTTTTCCTCTTAATTTATAAATAGGCACTATAATGAAACAAAGAATTACCCAAACATTTAACATTTGTTGTAGTTGATTGAGCATTTTAGGCCGTTAAGTGCAAAGTCTGACATTGTATCCAAAACACCTGCCAAGTGTGTAGAAAAAGTCACAAATTACGAACAGAGCAGTGTTTCTGATTGCCCTATAATAAAAGTGGCACTAATGCGTCACACGAACGTCTGGAAGCGTGCGCCGTTTGAGTGCTCAACTATTGCATGATTTATAATTGGCTGACCCCGGCAATTTGCGGTTGGCTCTTCACGACGGGCACTCCACAAAGTGCTCGTATAAATAGCAAAAGTGCGCAGTGGTTCAAAAGCGTGCGGTTGCATTGTGCTCGCATTTATTTTATTTATAATTTACGCTTTGTTGCACCGGCCGCGGCACGTCCTCCCTGGTTGCGATCGGCGATGTGTCGCAGCGAAGAAGATAGATGAGACTGCTAAAGCTCCCAAGTTATCACGGGCCTCTCATCGAGCCATTATTTACCGGTGCGCGAAGCAACAAACAATAATAAGAGTACGAGGCAAGAAGCCACATTGCATCCAGCAGACGGTAAGAATCTTTTTCGAGCGGGAACCACCTTCTTTTTCCGCCGCTGCCGCCAGAGGCAGGCCTACACGTTGGATTTATGTGCGTCTCGACTGTCGGCCGCGCGGCGTTTGGCGTGCCGCTCGAGCTTTCCGATACAGATCGATAAAGCTTGTTATAAATCTAAGCGTGGAGGAGGCGGTCGGCGAGACTCGGGCTCGCTGTCTGCGAGTCGCGTCCGTGAATGAATCGACGTGGATTGCCGCCAAGCACGAAGGGGAACAAACAAACAAGCGACCCGGCCAGATTTACTTACAATACATTTGCGTTCCTCTCGCGCGATTGCGATTATTTTTTATACACGCCCGCGCCCATTATTATTTCTGTGTGTTTCGCGTTGCTATCGCGCAGCTTTCATCCGCTTTGTTTCCTCATTTTTATATTTATCTGCAGCGTCCGTGAATGTTTTGCTCTGAGCTAACTTCGATCATAAGCCTACTAAATCACATTTTAAGAGGACCGAAAATGTTTCCCCGGCGCAGTAACAAAAAGAAACATAATCGCCTTATGAATATAAAATTTATGCTGAAGCATACCTTGACTAATCTCTTTCGCGGGCTCCATAGCGCGGGCTCGTAAAGCACAGGGACGGCGGCGCGCTTCAATTTCACGGACGCTTTGTGCCGTTCGTGCCGCGTAATTATTTTCGACGTGTCGCGACCGTTCATTTATTTGTTTCCAGAACCAGCAATAAACTTGAATGTTAATATACGACTTCGAAGAATCAAACATACAACAATCGCGCTACTAGCATAAATAGATAGACAGCAGAAATTCACGATTTTTGCGGTTTGCAAACGATACAGAAATGGTAAGCACCTGTTGCCATGACAACGTATCAGTTTTTCGAAACGCACCCCAAACACTGTGATGGAAATTTCACTGGAAAATAAAACAAAAGCCAGGCGATTTTCACCCGAAAATCGGTATTACCTGTGCCGTAGCGGAAGCTGCGTGTGTGGCTTTAGAGCTTTTCCAGCTTTTCAATTTTAATCGGCGCGCCATCCATTGTGTTATATTCATGAGCGCCTCTGCCTGTTCTCATATGTCACACATATGCTGAGCAAGTGTGCGTTTAGCTTTAAGCAAACATACTAATTGCCTGTAAGCGGATTTACCACCGAGAAAATTGCTTAATTGCGTTAGGTAAGCAAGGATCAGCTAACCAACCGCTGAGGCAAACCAAGCGACTTAGGAAATCACCGTCATTAACGGCCTGCCGCCGGAAATAAAAAAAGCATACTCATCTCTACATAGCTCTGCTATTACCAAATCATGAGATAAAAAATAATATAATGAACGAAAATCGTTTCGCTGGTGCATCTCGTTAACGTAAATGAAATAAAACGAAAACACAAAAGAAAGCATAAAGAGCATCATCGCTCCGGGTGTGAATCTCATCATAATATTTTCTCTCATGGCGGGTGCTCCATTTGAGTCGTGATATTCGTATCATTATCGCGCATTAGGATCGGAACCGTTTAATGTATTACCATCAAACAATTATTCACACCTGAAGAACGACGAAAACAAGGTCTATTATTAAATTGCCTCACGCGTTCGGTGTTTTAGGGGGCTAGTTGCTAGCGGGGTAGAAGAATCGACGAGGCGTGCTCATGATGATCTTCGATATTACAACGCAAGCACGCCGCTGGATTAATGACAGCAAGAGTGGAAAGATAAAACGCATCCCGAAGGGCATTTAATAACCTCACGATTATCATAACGTTGAAATTACAGCTCGTATCAACGCCTTATTTACTATCATGATTAAAGGTATCATAACGCAGTTCAATAGCCTACATCATACATTTCTACATTGTTTCTTCATAGACAATACATACACAACCTGATGTATGAGTAATCCATGGAATATGTATACCTTGTTGCCGTTTCACTGATTTGTGCGTTCTTGGAGAGCAAACTAGGTATTGAGTTATTATTTCCTTTTCCGAGACACGCCGGCAACAAAAGTCACAAAACGCACGCGCCTTCGGTAAATACGCGCACGCCGGCGCTCGTAAACATGTCATGATTATTTACACGCTTGAAAGTTTTAAGGATGTTTGTGTAAAAGAAGAAGATACAGAGTTACAGACACAACTGACGTATCACAGTATCAACGCGCATCGTGTTGCGGTGGCTGTTGCCGGACATGTCTGATGATAATGTTGAGGCGGTTTTTTTTTCCAGCCACTGTGCACTGTTGGATGTAATTTGATATTTATACTGGTAAAAAATAAGGGTGCTCCAGTGTAGAGTAAAAAAACTGTGGAAGTTTTGGTGGCGTCTTTTTACCTTCACGTTTTTTTTTTCATAGTGAAATATAGACGACAACTGGATATCTTCGAAAATATAGAGTTGCTTTAAAATTTCTTGGAAGCATTGTTTTGATATTACAATTTGTACAATTTGAAGAGGGGAGTTGATTTCCCCATCAGTTGGTAATATTTCTGCGGACAAAATAGACATTTGCGTCGCAGACTTGTGTACGCACATGAATGCACCCCAGCGTATCCCATTTGTTCCGTGTCGATGCCTTCTCGCAACGCGCACGCAATCTCGATCTTAAATTATCCTCATAAAACATTTTAATAAAAGTCGATTTATATTAAACTTGAGTGTACACCGATGCATTGACTTGCTTTTGGTCGGTCGGTAAACGTATGCAAGTTGTACTTATGGTTGTGGATGATGTGTTCGTGTTTGCGGTATGCGTGTATAGCGAGGTGCACCGCGGTGCAGTCATAATACAAATGTGTACAAACATAACTCCTTCGATATGGATTATGAGCGTGCGCCATGCCCATACCATTGACGTGCCTAAGCGCCCCGCGCTCGCTGTAATAATATTTTAAATTTTATGCCTCGGCCATAAAAAAGACATTCTTGGTTTTATTTTTATTTTCGGCGTGTTGCGAGTGGGGTTGACGCCTAGTCTCCTCACTCGCACGCATTAAATGCATTCCTTCGATTGCGCGACTACCGTTCGACATTGCTGTATGTATTTCATACTTGTAGACGCACGAGAACGTTTACACGACATGTCTGCATTGGAATTATGTATAAATTTAGACTCAACTAAATCACTAAATCCTAGGCCTAGCCTGAAGATTCTCGGCGTGCCATCAGTTGGGGTGAGATGACGTTTTGTAGATTGTCAAACATGCAGATACGCGTTATTTAAAAATGTATGTTGATATTTGGTTCCATGTTGACATTGACTGATTAGAATGAACTTGATAATAAAATAAATCACATGTTTATTTAATGAAAAATACTTCAATTGTATATAGATAATGATATTTGCTTTGAGCTCCACTTTAAAAATTAATAAATATAATTGAAATCAGATATCTTGATATCCTAGAAATAATGAAATTGGTTTTTAAAAAATCCGAGAATCATGACAAGTCATAAGCTATAAATTTACCAGAAACTTCGCCAATTAGCAGTGTGAAAATGTTTCCGCGTTCACATATATCAGCTTCTACTTTCCATCGAAACCTAGAGCCCAAAACCAAATACTAGTCTTAAGATGCTGTCGTAAGAAAATATTCTTCTTAATTAAAAATTTCTAACAGATTTACGAGCACATTCAATTTATAATCTCATAATTCAAACCTTTTTTTAAAAGCGAAGCTTGACGCCATATTTCTCCACCTAGCTAATGCGAAGACACCGCGGAAAATATTTACGGCCAAATTAAAATTAATAAATTTCGGGGTTGTAGAAGGAACCGCCCGAGTGTTGAAACTTTATGGTCTCCAAGGGTAGCGCACAAGAAGCATCACTTGGCTGTTCGCCGGCATAAAAACCTAACAAGCCACCGTTATTCTTTAATTTACGACTGTTTAAGATGATTTTTTTCTCCGTTCTCCCTCACGTCGTTCGGCGTACCATCCCCGACGCTAGTGTAAACAACGTGATCGCAGTCTAAACAAACTCACAGCAATTGATCGCTCATCCCTAGAAACCCTCAATACAAGTGCCCAAAAGTACCCAAAGTGCCTGAGTTCGTTGGTTGTACGTGACATTTCGCAAAATCGCGTTATTTCCACACGTGACTATACAAAATTTTAAGACTTTGATGACAAGTCTACCGACGTTGCTATATTTATTTGCGTTTACAATAAAATACTTACAATATTATCTGATGATTAATAGTCGAATGATGTATCCAAGTGCACTCACAATTGTATAAACAAAGCACAAATTTAAACGTAAATTGTTTATAAATGATTTAATTTAGTTCGATAAACTTTAGCACAATCGATGATTAATTTTACGTACGTAACGTCGAACACGTCGTGTTAATTCACGCGAGGAGCTCCGCACACAACGCAACGCATCGCACTACTGAAAGCTGCTACTGGTACCGGAGGAACATCGCCGGAAAAGCTCCGGAATCCCCACCAACGGCGCCCGAGATGAACGTTTCCCCACCACTCCAAACCACACCGAACGACGGAACGAAATTCCAGCCTCTGCCTCAGTCTCTATTTCAAAATACGTGTTCCGAACTCAAACTGTACCTACTCTAGACTCTAGCAGTGAAGTCCGTTTATATGTAGGTATATTTGCCTAATAATAACATTCTATATAAAAATAATGTGTTTTAAGTTTTAGTCCAAAGTGATATTTTTAGTGGTTTTCACTTTTGGTGATGCCTGTAGTTATAGTTCTGCAAAGGAATGTAGTCGTAATTCATCCACCCTCTCGGTTTTCGTACGTTTCGGGAAAAAGCTCGCAGGTACGAGTGCGAGGGTCCGGTAATAACGTATACGTTGGTGCGCACGCCATTGGTTAATTATTACCTGGCATGTAGCAGCAGGTTTCCGAATATAGCATAGGCGCAGGGATGGCAGCGCCCTCGACGGCTTTACCACCACTTTGGTGGCGGTGGGGCAGCAATGTAACGCGTAACTCAAACGGCGGCGGCCGAGCGTCGAGTTTGCCCACCGATAATGTGAAAACTTTACGGATTACCTCGCCGTACATTTTTCCGCCGCCGACACCACGCGCACGCTATCCAAAAACCGATTTCGTGCGATCATCCCCTGATTCACGCACTCGCACGCAACTTTTACTTCCGGTGGAGATATATTTGAGTGAATCTACCGGATGTCTTTATAATTGATTAAAATGAATACATTTATAGTTGTAAACACTTGGTATATGTGTTACAATTACAATGTATGAATGGAATTTCTATTCTTGCTCTCAAAAGATATTAAATCTATTTATAAGCTATTTGTCCGTCCAAAAACTATTCGGGAAGCATTAACAAGCTATATAATAGATAACTTTGATTTCTATTCAAGCAGGCGCCGAAAAGCTAGTATTACCATGATTACAACGACGTGAACCTCTGGTACACGTGCCCAAATAGGTTTGTAGTGTTCGGCACACAATAGAACGCGGATAGAAACAAAGCGTTTTGTATAATGGCATATTAGAGATAACAGAAGCGATCGAAGCGCGCCGCACTATTGACACGAGTGAGTTGGCTCCTGCTACAACGACTGCGCCACATTATAACCCAGCCTAATCGTAACAATGTCTTATCTGAAATTGGTGAATTATTTGCAGATTATTCCCTGCTGCTTTTGGGTGCTTTAGCTTGAATTAACACTATCGTCTATTCAATCGATGACAGCTCCCAATGAATGTCAATTGTTTCGGCCGGCGATATTATCACAAACCATTCAATTCGATGCCGCAAAGTAAAAACAAATGTTAACAATTGTTCAGAGGCGCAGGGCACGTGCCAACTTACAACTTCATTTGTCTCTTTGTCATTGTGCAGTCGGTCATGCATTCATATTCATGTTCATATTCGGTTATGACGGATGCAATTGTTTCCTACATTTCATTAGGAGGATATAATCATGCGTGCAGTTGGGTCACGTCGGTTTACTATACCGTAATTGCATTCTTCATCGTTAGAAGTAGGCACCTATTGTGGTTATGGCATTCATGCGAATGTGGCGCGAAAAGTTTAGCGACTTTTTTCATTGTGGCGGATTTGCTCATAATGGGATTTTTAAATCATCGCAAATTAAAAGTTAGGCAAATTTGCCTCATCACGACAACGACAATTTATTATGTATGCAAATTGGATACGCAAACGACAACGAATTTCATCCTGGCGTTAACTGAGCAACGCGTATGGAAGCTTTGCGCAAACCACAGCAATCTACTAGCTACTAAATAAACAATGCGACAACGCCTCGAATTTTGGCAGTTTACAGGGCTGCTTCCTTCTGCTGGTGATGATGATGATGATGGCGATGATGTGTGAGCCTCGACGTCGTGCGTGCGCGTTCATCGATTAAGGAAGCAAATTAATCGCACCACACGCGTCGAGCGACGAGGAATTTTGATTCGCAAATGAGCGCTTGCCAAGCATCTGTTCAGCGTTTCTGCGATACTTTAATCCACGCGTAGGCAGTGCGTACTCACCAACCAACGTTTTCAAAAATCCGGATGAATTCGACGTTGCTGGCATCGTTTGTTAGCGGCGGCGGTCAATCAATCAACGTCATACAGCAGACGTGGCCGCGCGCGCCATTATGTCGAAATGGAAACAGACGCACGGGCGCAAGACGAAAAAAATTGGAATAAACGAATTTTTATTACTACATTACTGAATCTTGACGGCAAGCCTACTGACGGCCTTTCGATAGATGATCCCAGACTTAAAAACCCACAACTTTTTGTTGCAATATAAACAAATTGAAATTCAGTTTATAGTTTCAGATATTTATTACATGTTATTACATGTTGTTACCCTGCGTGAAAGAAGCTGCAGAGTAATTTGTTACCACTTTTCTTTTACGCTTCCATCACGACGCGGATAAAAAGATGATATCAATAAATGGATAGTTTATGGATGTATGCATGAACATTATGCTAACAAGGCAAATTATGATTTACTGAACTGTCGGCTCAACGCTTCAGTGGCACCAGCAACAAAAACAAGTGCACAAAGGTTAAAAGAACTTCGGCTAACTTCTACTTTCCATCACGTCGTGTTCATGCCGCTGGTAACTTTTGCTTGCAGTATACAATTTACTTAAACACTTTTCCTCTTTACTGACTGCTTCAAGCTTGAACATTATACGACCAGCCATGATTGAAAATTGAAGAAACGTGCATGCATCAACGTTCGTATAATGATAGAATAAATCAATTTATTAGAATATTTGTTTTAATATGATTGCGTGCCAGTTGCCACGCATGCACTTCTTATTCTCTATACTAGTAAATCTGTTTAACTTTCGCTGAGATAGCTCGTAGCATGTTGTGTGCGCATAAAATAAATATTTTTATTAGACCACATATGGAAATGGTGTAGAGTGCTTGAAATTCTTTTTGTCTTTCGAAAACATTGCCGCACACGCTCCGCACTTGCGTCACTAGATTAGAATAACGACGCTTTTGAAGAGTGCATAGGACCACAGGACCGCAGTCCATGCTCGGGGATGAGATGGTAATATTTAATGTGCACGTGCATCCTTGCAACCCTTACGCGAGTGGGAAAGCCACAGGGAATTAAGGGGATATTGAATCAAAGGGGGATAGGGGGATAAGTGCCCTCGTTGTTTTCCATACGGAAATTGAATTATTACCTTCGAGGCTTTTCTAATTAGGACCGTCAACAAATTGATAAGTTGTGCCGTGAATAAACATATTTGTTTGGTTAATTATTTCGTTGTGTTAATTTCACAATGCAAAGACTTGGAACAACAAAGGAGGGTGCAGCAATGTGAATCTACCGATTCAAAAGATAAGATCAATATTGTACTAACATACAAATCTAGTAAAAGTGCCAGAATTTAGTAATACTAGTTTTCCTTTCATTTACAATCGTACGATTTAGTTGCAAGAAGTAAGTGAGTGATGCAAATTTAATCTCTCCATTGAATGCTTCACCATGACAGCAAATTTGCTAGGGACGCACGGGTATGTTGCCATCCATCCGACATTATTAGTTATTCGATACAATAAGTAATGTCGGGCCACGTAGATTTTACTTGTGGCTATATCGCGCATTTAGTTTCAAACCCTCCCAGCTATATGGTTTATATGTGTATGTGTGCATTGTTGAACTTAGTCACTCTGTGACTTACACACAGTTATCGTCGGTAGTCATAGGTCCCAGTTAGAGAAATCATAGCCGCACATAAAGCACATATGGCACGACCTTACAATTGTTGTATTTCGACGTCGAGCTAGAAATACCAATTTCGGCTTATTCCAACAGTGCGGCCGGATTATAGAATGTACAAAATAGGTCATATGCCTGCTCACGAATAAATCACAACTCCAATAAAGTCGATTTTGATGCGACAAGTCGTATTCAACAATTGCACCCTAACCATTCCACCCTTAAATACATGAACATGTGGTGTTTGTGCAATGAAAGCTTCAAATCTACTTTTTTGTTGAGTAATGCTCTCATATATTATTTATATGATCGTGTTGTATCGATATTTTTTTAGCACTTTGCAAATGATAAATTGGTTTGGGATTTGACAAGTGTAAATATAATTTGTTCACTTGGTGGTTGTATTTACTCATTACACTCAGGTCTGTATCTAAAAATGACAGATGTATTTCGTATCTCATATAATTGGAATATTTTCCAACCCTGATATTACTTAAAATAGTTCTGTTGCTGTAATGATATGCACAATGGTCCATAAAAACAGATTAAAAAAGCAATCACGTCGTTTTTATTCCGTGGATCGTTTTAATCTTTAATCAAAACCTATTTACGCGTAGGGTCGTGCTAATGCGAAGAAAAGAAAGTGGGATTGTTATTAAAAAAAGACACATTTAAGATTCACACCTCCCGTAGTGACGAAACGAGATGTCCCACCGTGGGTGCGGACAGGGCGCGATCCTAAAGTGTGGATCGAAGATCTCCAGGGGGTTCTCGTCTGGCGGCTAGCGGCTGACTAGCCCTCCGCTGGCACATAACGAACCTAACATTTTTGAGGGTAAACGCAAGGCTAGACGTTACCGTCGACGCTTCGAGGCGAGAAGAAACATTTCGGGGGCGTTTTCGTAACACATAAGATAACAATACTCGTTATAGATTTTTGCCTTTGCATTTCCTTTCTGAGGGGTGGTCGTCTTTAGATTTTGCGGCTTGAATTACATCAACGCTTTCTTGGAAGCAGGGTGGTAGCATTTTAAATTGTGTATGCGTTTTTATGCCAGTAATGCAGTCAAGAGGGACTGCAATTTGCTTCGAGAATTTTTAGGGTCTGCTCACTTTTAACATTTTTCCTAATGATCTAACAAAATTTCCAAGAAATTAATAAATAATGTCAACGAATTATT